AAAGTTTGGATAATCGAATTTTCTAAAAAAAAAAAAAAAAAAAAAGAAAAAAAGTCGATAAAATCTCTCTCTCTCGAGGGACTCGCGTGTCAAGACAAAGGAGAGAGTTGAAAAGATCGTAGATCGTAATTAATGTGGTGGATGCGTATTATTAGAGAGTAGATCGACACTATATCACTATGTACACTGTTATTTGTTATTTAAACTCGTTCTAGAAACTAAAAAGTCATGTACAATCACCCAGCGAAAACCGAACGACGAACAAGTTGTCAAGTTTCGCGATGCGTTAAAGTTAAAGTCGAATCGAATTGATCGAAAGGGGGGGGGGGGGGGAGGAAGAAAAGAAAGAAAAAAAAACGTTGCTAATGTCGTTGCTGGCCCTTTGGCCACGGCCTTTTTCTTTCTGTCGGTCTCAGGTATTCGGTAACATCGCGCTGGATGCTGATTCTTCTATTACCAAGCACAACAATTTCCAAAGCTTCATTCAAGGTCTGATGTTGCTTTTTCGGTAAGTAATAACATCACGAACTAGGATTAAAGAAATGAAAGATATAAAAATCAGCTACTTTCGTTCTGTTCTTCTTATACGTTTATATTTGTTTCTGTTTTCTATATATCGTTTTGTTTTATCACCGGTGTTTCGTTTGTTTGCGAAAAGAGCACTGCGCTGATACTTAAACACACACGCAAATTTCAAACGCAAAGGAACTTGAATCCTCGAGGAACTTAATTCTCATTGGAACGATCTTTCGGAGTATAAGAAAGAGAATGATATGTGTATGAGAATAGAGAGGTGATTACGTTTACATTATATCGGTTGAATTTAACTAACACACTAACCATAAACAGGCCGAACTACGCCTATATTACAAGTTCAAACTAACACTGTAGTAGAGCGGTCGAGTAGAGAATTGAGTTACTAAAACCAGTACTCGCTTTCGGTGTTGCATTGTACTACGAAGATGCAAATTTCTATGCATGAACCGTGTTCTCAGTGACAGATCCAATCCTTTGTCGAAATGTTTGTATAACTTGCCATTTTCACTTGTTGCTACCTGATAAAGTATAGAAGTCCCCCGTTGACGACGTATCATGTGCTTTTGAGTTGAGTAATTTGCATGAAAGTACGAATCGACGAATTTTGAAGTTTTTTTTTTTTTCAATAACTTTCATTTAAAAAGTCATCCTCCGGTGGAGGAGGAGTGTGACGATGAATTTCAAAAATCGTCGATCGTAACGCAAAGAGTCTGTCAAATTTCGATAAGCGCAGCTTTCAAATTGTAGTAGAAGTCGAACGAGGATAGATCGCCATCATTGAGTTTCCAGTTTATCATTCAGCACGAGAATAATAAATATTTCCCTCGCGTCTCGGAAATGCTATAAAATTTTCAAGCTATATGTTATATGCTTCTAAAAATTTACATTAATTAAATATATATTTATAAAATAAAAATAAAATAATCACAAACATATATTTATAAAACTCGTGTCACTCATGGCGCTAGTGATAGATATTGGATAAAAATAAAATAACAATAAATATATATTTATGAAAAATTGTATCTCATAACGTTAATAACAGATATCACGAGTAATGAAAATATTACGTTATTTAAAAAAAAACGTGTGCAAAGTTTTGCAAAAATCGGAAACTCGAAGATGTCTTTACCTCTCTTTACGATGAACCTCCCATTTGCAACAAACAATTGCACAAAACGTGAAACGTTGTCAGGTGTGCGACTGGCGAGGCATGGCCGAACATCATGCTGTCCTGCGTGAAAGGTCGTCCGTGTGACGCGAAGGCCGGCAAGCAAGAATTTGGTGGCTGTGGCTCGAACATCGCGTACGCCTACTTCGTCTCGTTCATCTTCTTCTGTTCGTTCTTAATGCTGAATCTGTTCGTCGCCGTCATCATGGACAATTTTGATTATCTGACGAGAGACTCGTCGATCTTGGGCGCTCATCACTTAGACGAGTTCGTTCGGATCTGGGCCGAGTACGATCCAAACGCAACGGGCAAAATCCATTACACCGAGATGTACGACATGCTCAAGAACATGGATCCGCCGTTGGGGTTTGGTAATAAATGTCCGAACAGGCTTGCCTATAAGAAACTTATCAGGATGAACATGCCAGTGGACGTGGACCTGAAGGTGAACTTCACTACCACGTTGTTCGCCCTCATTCGCGAGAATCTTAATATTAAAGTGAGAAGAGGTGAGTGTTTGGATTATTCCTTTGATTTGTGAAAGCCTGAACGACTACTCGAATTTAACCATTGATTGATACACTGATTCGTCTATGGACGACGAACGGCTTACGTCAAATCGATTTGCCGAAGTTGCTTAATCTTTAATTTGCATTTTGTATTTTGGCGAATCTCTAGCCTCTGAGAGAATCCAAGCGAACGAAGAACTGAGGGATACGATCAGAAGCATTTGGCCTCTGCAGGCAAAAAAGATGTTGGACCTTTTGATACCTAGGAACGAAGGTGAGAGTCGTTCAATTTTTAGAAACAACAAACCTAACCCCGTTTGCAACAGCGTGCCGATAAATGCGTACGTTTTTTTGTTTTAGAATTAGGCAGAGGTAAGATGACCGTTGGTAAGATATACGTCTGCCTTCTGATACTTGAAAGTTGGAGGACGACTAGGTTTGGTCAGATAGAATCGACCGGACAGGTGAGTTTATCGTTAGTTACGGTTCGAGTGTAACTCGTACGAAAATGGAAGCCCCTAGAGCGATATGTCCCTGTTCAGACAAGGAACCGTCCGTGTTGCGCTCTCACATGGTTCATTCATCGTCTCGCTGTTCATCTGATTGCCGATATCGTCAATTTACATAATTTGTTTGTCACGCGAAGGAAAAGTAACTGCGGTTACTTTGATAGAATCGAACGAATCGATGGGACGAGCCTCGTGAGATTGCAGTCGAGGATTGAGTTCGAATGGATGTTTGTCGTTGGCTTCTTCGTGGTAGGATTTCACATGGACGGTGTGGAAATCATTTCGTTCGAATAGAGAATATCCAAATATCCCAAGTAGCTTCTTGATTACCCATGAAAGCTTAGTATCGCAAAAGACGACACGAAAATTTCAACGATCGGACCGATGAAACGACCGAGCCTCGTCGTTTCAGATCGTTTTTTTTTTTTTTCATTGAAAATATATTACGAAATTATACACGTTTGGAAACATAGGCGCGATTCTAAGCTTCCTTCCCGTGTCCTAACATTCTGACGCTATATTAATGTGTGCTCAGTAGTGCTGAGAATTTTCAAACATTCACATACGTATTTGAACGAGTAAAGAATATTCGAAACATTTTTTTGCTGCGCTCCTTATTCCAGCGTGACTGGCTGGAATAGAATCAACGAGATCAATTTCGATCGAACGAGATCGCGTCAGATCACATTTGTTTTTAGATTCAGGCCGACTTTCGACTGCTTTCGTCTCGCTGGAATAACGAATCGGCATAATTTATTGTTAGTTAAATATTACGAACAAGGAAGACGTTCGATTTCTGTCTGTTAAGTTGAATTAGCCAAGTCAATATGTGTAGAAGCAGTTCGATGTCACCCTTCCCAAACGTCACAATTCAAATTTCATGCAAATGATTGAACGTAGATTGTTCAGAGTCGATACGTCGGCTGCTATTGTTCGTCAAACATTCGGCAACACTGATCAATTTCACCACGGCAATCGCACGATGATTTCAAATTTCATTGGGATCTCGCGTTTCATCGATTGACGTTTCAACGATGTGTTGCACATAGCGTACGACGTATCGACGCAAATACGGATTACACATAGAAAATTAGGACAATATGAAGTTTTGAATGAGTTACGATTAGAATATTAGAAAAGAATCTGTGTGTTGAATTTATACGTGTTTTCATTAAAAAGTCATAGAAAGAGAGTACGACAACGAGGTTTGAACCTTCAAGTTATTGATAAATAGAGTTATGTTGTTGTAATTATTATTATTACCATCATTATTATTATTATTATTATTATTATTATCATCATCATCATTATTGTTATTATTATTATTATTATTATTATTATGGTTATTATTATTACTGTTATGATTATGATTATGGTTATTACTGTGATATTAGCGTAGGCGTAATTTTAAAACTGGATATCAATCACACAGATACTATTATATATTACGTTTATGTATTTACTATATACTCAGACAAGAGGATGTTCACGCAGCTCTCAATCATCTCTTTGTGTCTTTTCTCTTTGTTTTCCAGAACGATAACGATCTTATCGATAACGATAATGCTGGGCAAAGTCCTGCAGCCCAGGCGGTAGTACTTACTTTTTCTCTTACTTATTATCATCTTAATACGGTCTTTTCGTTTCATTTTTTCTTTGTACAGTCACATTACGTTTCACTAATACGAATTACGTTCACATACCCTCACCATTCACTGCAAAGCTAGCAATTCAGACGTCTTCTCGTCGATGAAAATTTACTATAGAAAAATTTACTATGCATATTACGATTTGCAGTATGTACAATAGTCGCAGAAACTTTGCAGCGAATGATTTACATTTCTTGTACATAATAATATTTGTAATTCGTTTTATATTTACGTCATTAACTCATGCAGAGACACAGTAGCCTATCGTGTACCGTATCTTGTACATATTATAAATCACAGCAGATTAAATAATTTCAATCGTCCGAGTTGGTAAAACTATGTAATTCTTCTTCTTTCCCCCCTTTTTTTTTCTTTTTTTTTTAATTTTTCATCTAGAAATCGGCAGTTGTATCTCTGCTCATTTTTTTTTTTTTCAATCTTACACGTTTCTTTCTGTGCATCGACATAGACATACATACAGACGCGCGCGCACACTATGACACTTGTACATTTTCGTTGAAATTTCTTTTCTTTCACATCGTAGACCTTTGTTCTTTCCCTAACTTTTTTACTGTCACTGAATCCACAGATCGATAGAATACAACGCAACAGCAATTGATGTAAATTACGCTAAACCAATACGGTAAACTTTGAATGTCAAGGAAAGAAAGCTTTTCCAAGCGAGAGAAATGAAAGAGGGAATGAAAATGAAATCAACCGCGGTTGCGTTCAATTACAGAATCACAATCACACACGCGAACTTTTTCTTCTTTCTTAGGCACTTAATATATACATTAGTGGAAGTAATTGACTAGAGCATCCAAGTCAAGTTAACACTATATAGATTCTTAGAAATTTTTAGTCTTTCCTTTTCAAAGAATTTCCTTTTTTTAATAGCACGTTTCCTCTTCAAATAATAAGCAACTAGTCTAGGATAATACTTGAATCTAGTTAAACTCGTTCAATTTTATGCATCATCAACCTTTCAATCGATCTTTGTCTTTTTCGTTTCGCCCCCCTCCCCCCCCCCCCTGTCTTTAACGAACAGTGCTCGAAAAATTCGATTGCGAAAGATACTCGCGATGATGCATAGAATTGCAACGTTTTGAGTTTTTTTTAGTGGTGGTGTCGATGTCACGTGGGGGATCGTTCGCACGTGTTCCCACGTGAATCGGCTCTTTGCCTCGAGAACACGATATAGCTATGTGTAAGTAAATTACCTAGTACATCGAACCTCCTATAGAAAATAAATACCGGAGAGATTTGATCCTCGAACATAGCTCGCCTTTTGCCTCGAGTATCATTCCATTAATTAGGTTTCGCATTAGTAATCACCAATTTCCAATTTGATCTCTTTAGTGCGATAGTTCTCCAAGCCCCAAATGTACTTGATCTTGTTAGTGTCCGACATAGTTGATCTTAGATCGAGCATTAGAAATATATTTCCTTTTTTCGACATTTTTCGAAATACGGTGTATTCTTGTTACGAAACTTCGCTACAGCTCTGATTGTAATTTTCCCTATTTTACTTTATTACCTTTTTTCATCTTCTCGTTCTTCCCTCTAGCAGCTGTTTAGCAGAAAAATCGAGGAACTCACCCTCGATTCGTACTTGAACTCTCTGAGACGGACATTCTTCTTTGACACGCTCTCGAGAGAAATAATTCGGATCGAAGTGCGTTCTTTGAGTTAGATTTCCTGATTAGATGTATAATTTTTTCCTTTCTTACCTATCTGTTACTCTCTATCTCTCTCTATCTCTCTCTCTCTCTCTCTGATAACCAGCGTAGCGTAGAAATTATTCTTAGAAATTCCACAGTGACCACTGTTTTCGTGGACTCTCGTTGCCTTGCTAATTCTCTTCCAATGGCTTACTTTCTGACACGGTCCTACAACAACAACAACAACAACAACAACAAAAGTACACTACTAAGCACCCGGTTACTCCGTAACACGACTACGATTACCACACTACGTTTACGTAGTTAGATTTCTAAATCGCCTTATCGAAAGAGATTCGGTGACGGCCTATGAGATTTTTGTCGAAACGAACGATGCTGTGAACAACCAAATGTTCTATCGGGATCCAACGACGATCATTTGCTAGACGATGTAAAAATGTATCGTATCGACGAACGATATAATTCGAGATATGATCGCTTGATGCGCGGCAAATATCGTCGATTGTCGATCAAAGGGGAAGGCACTTCCGCGAGGAAGTTCTTCCCACCGTATTCAAAGTTTCTAAACAAAGTATTTGTAGACAAAGTATTTGAATATATGAGTAATTTTTGATCGAGTTTCAATAGAGTGATTTTTCATAGAATTTTTATTATACCGTATTGAAAGTATTGATATACACATGATAGATGAAATAAGTAGCGAATACGTAGCGTGCATAGGCATGTTGATAATTCCAGTCAATTAATCTCTAAAAGTATTATGGTTCCCGCATAAAGTACCCGTTCGTTGTACCAATAATTGGCTTGTGTACTATGTGTGTCCATTTGTCTTTCGCATATGTCTGTATCTTAGTATCTTTAGGAACATCTTTGCGAATTGTTCAAGTTCCGCTTCGATGGAATAAGTTGACCTTTTTTATTTAAAAAAATGACACAGAACCGATGATGAAACTGCGTAGTTATTTAATATCGAGGAGCATGAACGATTCGCGATATTGTGTTGCATGTTGATCAACGTTTGCATTTCTACTGCCGTAAACGAGCAACTGTCTTCATTTGCATATGATACTTTATGCTCACTTGTAAACACTCTACAAATATATAAGATAATAATTAACATACGTACGTAAGAATATTGCTTCTGAGAAACATATACAGGCTTTGCCAGAGTGATCCACCGTCACAGACTATAATTATCACCTTTGCTATAATTTTATTCGATATTCCAACATATTCCGTATTCTTTTGCACACACATCTCTCGAAGAGAAAGAAAAAACGAAAAAAAAAAAGGAACGTGTATTTTCTTGCTGTTAGAAGAGAAAATGTTTTCCTTAGCGACACTTTCAAGTGCACCGTGTCACGACATACTCTTTCTAGCATGGCCTCTGTTTTTTAACGAAAATTTTTCGTTGCTACAAACTCGTGCTCTATCTTAATCATTCTTCTTTCCTTCTAACTCGAAAGCACGCAAGAGTGATAAAAAGGTAAAACGAGGAGAACGAAGAAAAGCCTGTATGTGCCTGTATATACTGTACAATAATATGAGTTGGCTTGGCGATCGAATGATCGTCTAAAATCGACAATCGATAAAAACCAAAAAAAAAAAAAAAAAAAAAAAAAAAAAAATTAAAAAAAAAAAAAAGAAAAAAAAAAAAAAAAAAAGAAAGAAAGAAAATATACATACACAAAAGAAATATCGATCAGCTCTGATAGTCGGTGTGGTTTCGCACGTTCGACTTTAGCAATCGGCCTTCCTCAACTGCATACTGGATGTGACGGCGGTAAATCATACCGGAAATAATCACGCAGCCGGAAGTAGGGCGAACAGCCTCGAGCACGTGGTACGGCCACCGTCGGAAACGAAGCTCGATCAGCGCAAGGAGCACATGGAGGAAGACGACGAGCATAGACGTCAACGTAGCATCAGGTAGTTCGTTTTCCGTTTTAATTTTAATCGGATATCGAGTGTCGATATCGCGTAATAAAATCTTGATTCCAGGTTGAACTTCGTTTCTGGCACACCGAATTTCTGATCTTTTTTTCTTTCTTTTCCTCTTTTTTTTTTTTTTTTTTTTTTCTTAAACGATGCACGCACAAGTCGTAAATGCTTATGTAAATTTAAATCATCATTAAAAAAAAAAAAATAGCATTGTACGAATACTGTATTTGCCATAAATGTCATGAAATACGTGCGCCCGAATAAACTGTACGCACGATCTTTCAAATAAATGAAAACGAGAAGTTCAGTGTGTCCTAAAACGATGGTTCACCGATGTTCGTGTTTGTAATAATGATTTTCTTGTTTTTTTTTTTTTTTTCTGATATAATTTCAGAAATAAAAAGGTGAACTGGAAGATGTCCCACCAGTACGATATACTAGGCAGCAGCGGAGAGAGTAGCCAGGGAGGGGGTGGGTCTGGGGTTGTACCCGTAGTTAATGATGAGGATCGCGCCCCCGAGCTAGAGCCATTGCTGGCTGAGGTGCCCTCCCAGCAGGATCAAAACTACTACTACCACCATCACCATCACGACCAATACTACGATACCGACAATGATCTATACTATGACCATCACCACCACCACCACCACCATCACCATCACCATCATCATCATGCTCACCGACCACCCTCGTACTATCAACACCAGAATACCTACGCACCTCGCTCCTCGATCCGTTACCACAAGGTCTCTCGGCTCGATTCAATTAAAATCCACCTCGATAATTTTCAAATTAATCTCGATTCCGATGAAACTCCCCTCGATCGGTTGCGATACAGAACGAAATTTACTTGGGTTCAGCATGCTCACGAGTTAGCAACAGTTGCTGTACTCCTGTTCGATTTCGAGACACGTGTCTAGATCGCGGTAGATCGAGGATACTTATATTCAATCGGGATCTAATAGATCATCGTGTTGTTGTCACTAGTCGATCGTATTCAACCGACTGTACATACATAGACTTCAATGTGTGACGTTACGCTTTCTTAGGACTTAGATGTCGATCGTCGTTAGACACGGGGATACGTCATACATTTCTCTCTCGTAGAATTATAGTTCGTTACACACGACGGTGTCGTAGTTACGCGACTTAGACAACGAAGGAGCAACAGCACCTTTAGACTAGTTCGCGGATAATCAAAGAAATTCCTCATAGACGGACTCGAGTACACCTTTTAGATCGGGATAGATCTTAGATGAATAGATGGTAGATAGACTCGCGTTCGCGAGATTAGCCACGCAAAACGCTGTTTCATTCGCATTCACGGTTGTTCGAAACGCCGACGAAAAAACGATCGCTAGACATCGTGGCCCGCGACTCAGCAAAAATGATCAAGATCGATCGACGATCTAACTACGTCCATCCTGTACAGAGTTCGCATTTGTCGATCATAGTGTTGACGAAAATCGCAATCGAATCGATCTTGAACGGCACACCTTAGCACAGTTGTAAATACAAAGAAAACGAAACGAAACGTTTTTGTTCTTTCTTTTTTTTTCTTTTTTTTTTTTTCTCTTTTTAGCGGAAGTTCAACGTGAACATTTAGAGAACCCCACCCTTATCCCTAGCTGCTTTCAGCCTTGAGATTATTCTACGAGAGTAACGAAGCACTCGTGCGTTCGACAACGATTGCCTCGTTCTCCGTGCGTCTCCGTGTTGTTCGTTATAATTCCATGTGTATCCACTCCGGTAAGTAAGAAACACCTCTTGGGACGAGCCCAGCACTGGTCGGAAGTTAGTAGCGGAGACACAACTCGTTTCTCTTCTTCTTTCACCTGAACCGCTCCAAAACGAAAGTGAATCAGCAAAGCATGTGCATGCCGAAATCTTTCAAACTTGCATGCTCTTACACGCGCGTACATGTGCCTGTATATCGACTTCTCTGCTCCTCTTCATTGACTGCTCCTCTGATTTTCAAAATTGTCTGTCGTTTCTCGAGACAAAGCTATACAGAAAAGTTATCGAAAAGCACGAACTGCGACGAATCTCTGCGCGAATCTTCGTCGCGTATTTCGCACTTTATGTCAGAAACTTTATGTCGAGACGCGTGGACGTACGTTGTACGTTGATGTTTATGCTCTCGGATCTGGAGACTCGCGCAGAGATTCGCGTTCCGGAGGCAAAAGGCATCTCGAGTCGAATAAGATGTTTGTTCGAGGCGCGAATCGTTAGTAACGAAGGCAAAGAACCGACAACACCCCGACTCTCCTTAAACTCCTGATTTATTCCGATTCCCCGGATCGGCCTTCTAATCGACGAGTCTGTTCGTTTAGATGGAACTTCAGGACGTCGTAGTTAGCGACTCGCGTGCCGGTAGTCTCGAGAGTCTTACCCACGCCGCCAAAAGACTTCACGCACCCGTACAACCAGCTAGACACCCATCGCATTCACCGACTTTAAGGTAACAATGAGACTATCACTGCAGATACAAAAATGAATTTATCACCTTATCTATGCTACGATATGTTATTTCATATTATTTTATACTATTATATTACGCTACGATGCAAATGAAACAAGAAATCCATAGTAAAAAGATTGGAAAGTATAGTTTGCACATGCTGAAGCGACCAATTGGTGCCGTAATAGTCGAAATACGAAATGAATTTATCATTTTAGCAGGAGACACTCGCCAGGACGACCTGGATACGATCATCACGGTCATTACTACCACGAAGGACCAGGGTTTAGCGACACGGTTAGCAACGTCGTCGAGATTCAGAGACACACGCATCATCCCCATCCGTCACAGTACAATCATCGGCACAGAATGCGAGGTACAAGACAGCAATGATAATTCCGTCGAAGAAAACACGGTGCAACGATAAGTCCTTTTTACGAAAATCCAACCTACGAATCTCTTTTTCGAACGTATCGCGAATGATGAAAACGATCGTAGCGCCACGAACGAATTATCGCGGAGGCCTTAGACCGGACGAGAGATTCGTAGTTACGATTTAGAAAAAAAAAAAAAGAAAAAAAAAAGAAAAAAATATGAATGTCGCTATAAGTGGTTTACTCGCAAGAGGCAAAAGCTCTGTTTCACTCGATGTAATACGTTTCTTCGTTTTGTTCTGTTATGCGCCTACAAAGACTATTACGACCACTGCGACTATTACGACGATGGTAATTTCTTTCGCAACTCCGTTTCATTCCCTGTTCCGAAGCTATTTCATTATTATTATTATTATTATTATTATTATTATTATTATTATTATTATTATTATTATTATTATTATTGTTATCGCCACCAATACATCGTCATCGTTATATCATTATTATCAGCAACTGTCATCACCTGTTGTCGTCATATTATTATCGTTACTATCACCTATTATCGTTTGGCTTCCACCAAATTGTTCATTCTCCGCCCACATTATTCATCGACACAACAAACAGATACAGATTAGTATGCAACTTAATACATTTTAGTATAACGCAGTATCGCACAAAACAGACATTTGTTCCCTCTCTCTCTCTCTCTCTCTCTCTCTCTCTCTCTCTCTCTCTCTCTCTCTCTCTCTCTCTCTCTCTCTCTCTTCCCTTCCTTTCTTTTCTTTCACGATGAAACACGTCGAGAACGTTTCGAACTTGTAACTAACACTTCCAAGAAACCAACCATTTTTTTCATTACTTCGTGTGACATTTCTGATTTGTTCGAGACACTGTGCACGAAATAGATAACACACAGGCTTGTGACTATAGCACATTGTGAACACTTGTACTCTGGTTCACCCATTTAGAAACATAGACACTCGATAGTTGTTTGTATCTAGTGTAATTGCACGCCGCGGAACCCCTTCCCTCCCCCCCCCCACCCCCACCCCTCCCTCTCGAATAGCTAGAGAAATTGGCATGCGGCATGTTGATCGATTTTAACGTAACGAACAATTAGACCGAACTCAAACTGCAATCGAACTCCTCCATTACTCTCAACGACTGGATAACTATAGTTCCCTCCTAAACAACGCGAACAACGCTCACAGGTCACAGGAAACTCTCCCTCGAGTACCAACTGTTCCCTCGAATAGTCCTCGAGTCCCCCCCGGTTTACCGAATGATCTCCTAGGAAAGCTAGAAAATAGCCGTTTTCGTAGAGAGAGAGACTTGAAACGCGAACGCTAACGAGCATATTCGTCAGGTCCGTGGAGCGCTTCGACCAGCCCGGCGAGAACACCGAGCCCTATTCACCACATCGATCGAGGCCGGCATTACGGGACGACCAGTTTGGAGCAACGATCGAGAAGCCCGAGTCCGATCGGTGGTCGCCAGCCTGCCCATTCGCATCAACACTATCATCGGCATCATCCCCATCAGCACAGTTATCCGGTGTTGGTAACCAGACGGGGACGTGGTCGTCGGCTGCCGCCAACGCCGAACAAACCTTCGACCTTGCAGCTGAAACCGGCGAACATCAATTTCCCCAAGTTGAACGCTTCGCCGACGCATGGATCGCACATGCACGTGCCGATACCGGCTGGGATGCAGCATCCGCCGCCAGGGCAGCATCTGCCATCGATACAATCGAGCCACTGTCCGTTGAGCTTCGAGCAGGCGGTGGCGATAGGCCGCGGTGGCCGTTTGTTGCCCAGTCCTGTACCCAACGGCTACAAGCCGCAGCCACAAGCTAAGCAGAGAACACCCAGGTACGGGTTAATTAATTTATCTTCTCTTGGACGATACGTATGCGTAAATTTTACAATTTTGATCGATGGCCTGCTTGCCATTCGAATACGCTGTTTTTATATTTTAAAGTGGCAGAGTATTCTAAGTTCAGAGTTTTCGTATACCTGAGAAATCCGTAGAGGATCATGATGATAAATTTGGTAAAGCACGTCCTCCAAAAAGTGCCTTTATCGTTCTTCAAGCTTCCAGAAGATCGATGAAGGAGAATCGTTAACTAACAAGCCGCTAAAACAGACGTATTCGTATGGATTTGATCATTGATTATTATTTGATAACAAGGTTATTGGTTCATCCTTTGCCTGATGAAGGAAAATGTGTCTACGGAGACGGTGGCGTTGCTAATCGTTTGGAAGAGAAAATTTCGTTTTGTCACCGATCGCAAGGTTTTATTTGCTGCAAAAGACGCGATAGAGAAAGTCATCTCATCTTGGAACTATCAGTGAAAGTTTAACTTAACTGGCTGTACCGAGAAGATTCTGATTATTGCTTGCAGAAATATGTCAAAGATAAAAATTCGTATTAACGCATTAACGTGTGCTGAATGTTATTCTGCTTCTGCTCGACTCTTGTGACTATTAATCTTCGTTGCCAATTAGAATATTTAATAATAATAGGGATAATTAATTAATAAATCTTATTCATAATCTTGCAAATTACAGTGATCAGAAAGATTAATCGGATTCTATTAAGAAATGACATTTATTTTTATACGAACTTGATGATCTTCGAAGAGAGGATTATTGTACCAGCTATGAAAATGACTTGAAGATACAGTCCGCGACAGAAAAATGGCACACCCAGTGTTTTTGTTAATTATTATTTAATAAATTACAAAAATATAATTTTACATTTACATATGTAACGATAATCATAACAGTCCTCATTTTATCTGTAAAAGCAAAAGAATCGTGAAAAATCGGCGCGACAAATTATAATAATAACAGCTGTTCATATTTACCAAGAAAAAACAATATTTGATATTTTGTAGAGCCTCCAGACTTTTTTGTAATTGCAATCATTCGGCTTGGAAGCCGATTTATAAAGTTTTTTAATTCATTTTTTTATTTATTTTGTATCTTTCATCTACCATGGAAGACCAGATATACAGTTTATTTGAGGTAAAACGAATGCCAAAAATTATTTAGAACTAATTAGTGAACAAATTGAAAGATGTGATATCCAAAAATTGGTTCATATTTCAACAAAATAATGCGGCGGTTCATACTGCAAAAATGGTAAAGTCATATTTTGAAGCTAATAATATTCCACTTTTGAAATGGCTAGCCCGTTCTCCAGACATGAACATAATGGGGAGGTCTTGCAAGAGCCGTTTATGCCAAGAGAAGACAGTTCAGTAACATAAATGAATTAAAAGAAAGAATGTATTTTAGTAGAATGGAGAAAAATAAATAAAAAACGAATTGAAAAAACTTTATAAATTGCTTCCAAGGCGAATGATTGCAATTATAAAAAATGTCTAGAGGTTCTACAAAATGTTAAATATGGATTTTCCTTGGTAAATATGGACAGAAACTGATTTTTAAAAATAGCGTGCTATTAATTTGTCGCACCGATTTTTCAGGCTTCTTTTGTTTTTACAGATAAAATTGAGGACTGTGTTGTGATTATCGTTACATACGTTGCAGAAATTGACATAAAAATGTATATGTAAAATTATATGTTTGTAATTTATTCAATGATAATTAACAAAAATACCGGATGTGCTATTTCTTTTGTCGCAGACTGTAAATCTTGTACGAAGCATTAATCCAAGTTTCTCTTCGGTAATCGGGAACTCAGCGTCTGAGCTGTTTTACTTTGTACTACTGAGCAAAGACCTACGCTAGTCAATTTTTGAATTTTAATTTAAAAAAGTCGTTGAATTTAAAAAAAAGCGATTAGAATAAAGTGTTTGGAGTATGAAATAGCCTCTGATTCTAGGATCAATTGAAACATGAATATTTCAAGATAGTTAAGTTATTAAAATGTAAATTATAACTGCAGAATCGTTCAGCCAGTAGGGACAGTTATATCAAAATACAATCACGAGTATATTAAGAAAGTATTCTCATTCGAAGCTACCAATTCTTAAGCGATTTATTGGAGAGAAAATTGTTACATTTTTATTACAGATCAAGTATTTTGAAATTTTGTATATCTTTGATTTATATCTTGAATTTTTGTGCAATTACTTGCATTATTATTCAAATCACTGTATGTTTTTCGTAGTATATCATTTTCAATAGTTGTCAGGATTTATGTTGTTGTATTCATTTTGAAACGAAAAAATGAAAAATCTATACAAAAATGAAATAGAACTGGAATTAGAATTAGAATTATATCAATACAAACAATAGTTTTTCTTTTGTCGTCTGAAAAAGTAATACATTTAATCAACTTTCGCTTTATATGTCATTTTATTAAAAAAAATTTTTTTTTATTTTATTCTATAAAATAACTATTTGGTAAATATGCAGAAAATGATAATCTTCACCGATATCAATGCGGTTGAAATATGTTGTTGTAGACATGATTCTAAGCAACTTTTTCCTATAGATGTTACCGTCGATACTAGTACATATAAATTCTGCCTATGTGACATAAACGCGCGTCATATATGCATGAATATTGGTTGCCGGCTGTCTGTGACATTTTTATATCGTTTTAATTTATAAAACACAGATAAAGGAGACGGAGGAACTCAATTTTTAATTCAACAAAAGTGTTGCCGGCCGGAAATTTATTTAACTCAAATCAATAACGAAAAAGTGACAAGCATTTTTTAAAAATGAGCATTGATATTGATTTATATTACATATTAATTACAGAAAGATACACCTTGCGTATCTTTACTTATCTTTACTTATTTGTTTTTATTATATGATAGATTTATTAATCTAGTAACATGGAAGACGACAATTTCTTTGGAACCTTGCCCTAATTTGAAATATACCAAATTCGTTAATGTTGGCGATACGTATATAAATGCAAACGGTTTTCCTGCTTTTCAGATTTTTTTCAAGATCATTGGGATTTGACAGTCATTTATTTCTTTCTTTTAATTTTTCCCATTATGTGAATCAAAGCAAAGTCAAATGAGTCGCTAGTTTTTTTATAGAAAATGGTCGTTCAGAATTATCATGTTCTCGACAACGTTAAAATCAGTGAGGATCATTCTTTTCTGCATAATTTTCCGCCATTTTTACACAGACGCGTGAAATAGTAATAAACATAATTGTATTGTATTGTCTTGAAACATAATTAAATTGCAGATGTACAAAATTCTCAAAATCCTTGATCTGTAATGACGTAATAATTTTTCATGCAGCAAAGTCAACTTAAAAAATCAGCGGCTGCAAGTGGAAAACTCGCCTCGAAAAGAACGAAAGATTGAAAAGTGAATTTTCGTTGCAGATCGAGACACTCTGATAGCGACGAAGACGACTGGTGCTAGCCAAAGTGGGACCCTGGACGGTGGTCCGGTGACGTGGACGCCCCCAGGCGTCTTAGGGTTTGCGCGTGAATCTTCCATATTGGGAGGCGCATTAATTTAACCACGAACGCGGGAGCGATGTGGTTAAATCGATCAACTGGCTTGGAACTTGGGAGCTACGTCGGAGTTGATGTCCACGTCCCGCAAGTCGGAGTACAAGACAGGTGTACACGATCGGAAACGAGGAAGAGAAGCTGCAGTGCAATATCGTGCAGTGTCGTCACTGTGGAGAAGGAACAGAAGAAGACGAGGAGGCTGAGTGAGACGTTGAAGGGAAACGAATGCAATGGAATGCTCGGCTGGTTCGAGGGAAGGCTTGATCGAACTTGATTGAATCGTATTTCTCGATCGGTGCATGAAACAGGACAAGCAAAGGATTCCATAGGGGAATGAACGCGATTGAAGGAAGGCAACATCGGATGATCGTTACAGGGACAACAAAGCAAACGTACTAAAATATAATACTAAAAAATGTGCAGTCGTCACGGTGATCACCATCGAACAGACTGTCTGTCGTGTGCCACGAAACGACGATCGTCGATTTAAACGCGTAAAACGAGCAAAGCTGAATGAAGATAGAAGAAAGGGGGAAAAGGGGGAAAGGAACATTCACCAACTTTACTGCCGGTTGCGTAGTAATTTTGCGATAAAGTTCAAGTGTCGTTGGAGGTTACACTACTTGGGAACTTTCTGAAATTTTCTTTCGTTTCTCGAACTTGAAAACTTCCTTCGCTGTGCTTTTTAATCGACGGGCCGTGCCGAGGAGGATCCTCTTTTTATACGATGAATTATACCACGAGGGAAACGCTCTCGGATGGTTCGAGCACGTTCGCTTCGGATCCCTCTCTGCGCGAATCTATCAAGTTTTTCAACGGCTGTATCAAATTGCGATTTACGCGACGTCCTCTCACCGACTTGGATGTAGCAAGGTTCCACATGTCTCCGTGTCTGGAGGAACTGGTCGGCGACGCGGGTACGTCATCCACGTTTGCCAACGAAATCTTCTCTTTTTGATTTCTCTATAAGCTGCGCCCAACTCGAACGACTCGTTAAGAAGGTTCTCGATGCGAACCAAGAGAAAACTGATTAACGAAAACGAATTTCCTTTGACGAGTAAAGAGTTTTCATACGTGCGAAAGAATTGAATGAGATGTAGTTGTATAAACGTAGGAAAATGGCACCGTTCGATACGTTCGATGCGAACCATGAAACACGAGTTTCTTCTAACTTCACTGTTTGCACGGAATTCGTTCGATCTCGCTCAGAATATCTTCCGTAGTAGCGTTCAATTTATCGAACGAGTAGACAAACATCTTGATCGAATTTATTCAAGTTTCTTAGAAATCTGTTCTATCGTTAACGAAACCGTGCAAAAGGAAAACAAAAAAAAAAAAAAGAAAAAAAAAAGAAATATCGAAGAAGCGGATGAGAAATGCAACAAGAACCGCGGCTATAAATATCCGATTTTCTCGTACGTTTACAAATTGGTAGCCGCAGTTTTTGTGTCGACACAACGTTCTCCCTTTATTTTACTTTTGCGAATATTCACGACCAGCCAACAACGTTGCGTAAATAAATTACGAAGAATGTTCACCCTATAAAAATTGTATCGAAAATGTGTCAGAAGAAGAGAAATATCGTTGCGAAATTATTCAAATAATCAGCTGCTCTGCAGATAGAGGAGCAGCTTTATATCGGGATATATATAATAGATTTATATATATAAACCTATATACACATAGGTTTATAAAGTTTATAAAGTTATATGTATAACCATATATGTATGTATGTGTATATATATAACCTTATAAACCTTTATATATATATAATATAAACCTTTATATTATATATATATAAAATCTTTAAAAAAAAAAGATACTCGAAGGTAAACATGCTAAAAGATACATCGAATTAAATATGTAGGAATTTTTACTAAATCATCTCGACATCGCTTCGACTCTCTTCTATCGTAAGAAACATTCACGGTTCGCGACAACTGGCTGCTTTGTCGCGATCACGATAATCGATCCTCCGTTAAAACGCATAAACGGAGAGACGCATGGTATGTATCACGTTGAACGCATACACGGACGAACGAACGAAGGACCAACAAATGAGATTTTTCTCCGAGAAGAAAATGAAAAGGAACGAGCAACGTCGAAACGAACGGTGTCGCGGTGTCGTTGTTCCGTATTCTCGCAGCTTGTGCCAATAAAAAAATTCAATGAAACGAAGGAAAAAAAGCAAGGACCATGTATCACGATCATTCGTTAGAAAAGGAATGAAATAGAAATGAACGAAGAAGAAAACAATAGAAAACAACAGAGCGAAATAGAGGGAAATATGTTCACGTTCTTCTCAGAAAAAGAACAAACAAAGAAACGAGAAATGAAACTCACAAGCACGTGTAAATTATTGCATAATACTGACTTGAAACGTACCATCACTGCTACTATGTCACCATCTACAAGAGACAGATTACCTTACTATTATTACAACTACTACTATTACTTATTAATACTATCACTATTATCGCTATTACTATTACTACTATAATTTACAATCACTCGACCGCCGTCGCTACTACGCTACTATTACTATTTACTACTGCAATTACTAATACTACTGTTATTAAATACTATTACCACCACCAAACACCGCCATCTCTACTATCGCTGCTACTGCTATCACTATTCCCACTGCTATTACTATTACTATTATTACTACTACAACAATAACTACTATCACTACTCCTTCTACTACTACTACTACCACTACTACTATTACTACTACTACTACTACTACTACTATTACTACTACTACTACCACTACTACTATTACTACTACTACTACTACCACTACTCTTATTACTACTACTATTACTACTATTACTACTACTACTATCACCACCACCACCACAACTATTACTACTATTGCTACTGTTACTATTACTACTACTACTACTACTGCTACTACTACTGTTACTATTACTACTATCACTACTGCTACTATTACTGCTATTACTACTACTGTTACTATTACTACTATTACTACTACTACTACTACTGCTACTACCATCACCATCACCACTATTACTACTATTGCTACTACTGCTACTACTGTTATTACCACTATTGCTACTATTACTACTAATTACTACTATTATTACGATTACTATTACTGATTATTATTACTACTTTTACTAACGCTACGAATACTGAAACATTTTATTAAATTACGAGCATTGTTACTACCATTAAAATGTATAGTTTTCGCGTCGTAATCATCACTCATTGGAACAAGATGGAAAAGATCCATCGGTCGATCGATCGATTAATCGATAGTTACACATACACTATGTACAAATGCATTAGAAGAAAAAGAAGAAAAAAAAAAAAACTGAATCGAACGTACGAAGGAACAAACAAACGTCATTTCGAGTTCTTTGATGCGCTTAAAGAAAAAGAAAAAAAAAAAAAAACAAGACAGAAAATAATCGTCGGAACAAGCATATACACATGTATACATTACATATACACGCATATGCATATGTTATGTATAAAAGAAGCGTAAATGATCAGTGAAGAAGCGCGCGCATAGTAGCCGAATCGAAATTATGTAATTATAGAAACTGAAAAATTTCAAATAGAAGGGGGAAAAAAGAACACGTGTAATATACTGCCAATCGTACGGAGTGTTTTAAGCGGAAACACACACGAAATACATGGGTGTACATAAAGATAACATGTGTCTTTTTTCGCAGCACGTATACACAAAGCATCTATACGTAGATAGATGTAAATAAAATATCGAATGTGATGCGATGAAATGTGAGAAAGGGAGAACATGCGACTATGAACGAAGAAACGGATGAATGGAGTGAAAGTCTTGAGAAACAGAGGAAAACAAAAGAAAAAAAGAAAAAAAAAGAAAGAACAAAAAAAGACGGTTTAAAAATCATTTTTTCAATACCACTTCACGCTTGTCTGCGTAATCTGCGTGCGTGGATTTCGACTGAATATGTGTAACTACGTAGTACTACCGTATAATTAATGTAAGAGTGTAACGACCGAGAAAAAACGAGAGAGAAAAAGAGGCAGAGTGAAAGACGAACTAAAAAAAAAAAGAAGAAAAAAGAAAAAAAGAAACGATAGATTTGTCGACAATATGCGAATGCTTCTCGTGGCTTGAGGTTCTCGGTGATGGAATACTTTTGTTCTTCATTGGACATAGTGTATTTCTCGTTCTTTCTATTTTCTTTTTCTTTTTTTCCCCTTTCAATTTTGTCATTCACTTTTGTTCCGTCGGTCGAAGGAAGAGGAATTATACCGACGAATTCACATTGAGAGGCACATTATGCGGTGATGTGTGTTGCACTATAAAGCGCCGAAGAAAGTGCCATTACGGTAAATGAAGATGAGGTGAAAAAAAAGAGAGGAGAATAATACATAAATTACAAAAAGGAAAAAAAATGTAAAAAAAAACTATCGAGAAACATCGAGAATCTCGCGAGTGTGAATTTTATGATGTGCAGTCGATGCTGAGCGTGATTTTTTCCCTTAAGTGCTTTATAAAACTCAATCGTATTTCGTATCGTCGCGTTTAAACGTCACTGTAAAGAGAATGCATAAATATAATAAAAAGAAAAAAAAGAAAAAAAAAAAAAATGAAAAGACGAATGCGTGAGAATTTCGGATACTCAGACATGCCAACGTTTACACTCCTTGAAATAGAATTTAGAAACGAAATGGAAGAAAGTTCTAACACTTCCGCTGTCTGTATGTATTTTTATCGAAAGAACGTTTCTTTTCTTTTCGTTCATTTTATTTCCATGAACGATGTTTTTATTCTTTGTATATCTTTTTACCTTTGTTTTATTTCCAAATGTTAAATATTTTATTTGTAAATGTCAAACATTTTAGATATTTTTTTGTAAACATTAAATATTTTATTTCTGTCATGTTTGTACAGTTTATTTATTCATTTTATTATTTATACGTTTTTTTTCTAAGTCGTTGAAGAAGCATGGTTTGCGCGTTTCGTACATACGAAAGTGTTAGAAAACGTGCACGTGGGTGCGGTAAAGTGGGATATTATTAAAACTATTTTTCTGTGATAAATCCAAGAATCTAGCCAGATCGATGATACCGTTGCGTCGATAGAGAATTTTTTAGCCCCAAAATGCGTTTGTACTAATGTCGAGTAGGAATGGATGAGAAAGGGTGAGAAAGATTGAACGAGTAAAAGGAAAAAACATTCGAACGTGCGAATGGAGCAAAAAAGAGAGTGGCGTATGGAACAGCAAAGAAAACAGTGAAAGAATCGACTGCCGAGGATTGGATAGAGTGTGGAAAGGCGAAAACTAAAATTCACCTTTCACGCGCGTGTGAACTATACAAGTCGAAATCTTCAAACTTACAAAACTCTTTAGCATCGTAAAAACAAGCATATGACCAACCTCTTATCGATGACTTAGCGTAAACAACAAACACGTAAATATTAATATAAATAAGACATAAATATAAGTATAAATATAAATATAAATATATATATATATATATAGTTTTAATTCAAGAAGGTATGTATACATACATATAATAAGTATAAATGTATACACACGTATTATATATATATATATATATATATGTATATATATATATATATGTATGTATATATATATATAATTATACTTTAAACTGAACGCGCTAATTAACGTAAACGCGAGTAACTATCATGCAAACTAAAGTTAATGAACGATTAATAACGATAATAACATAGTAATAACGATAACGCTGATAATATTAACGACAATGCTAAGAATGATACTTGTAACGATAAGGAGGATCGTGACATACAATTCGGATAACCCTTCGACTCGTATCTCACAGTGTATGAAGCGGCACGCTCCAATAATGGTTCGTTTTGATAAAAAAAAAAAGAAAAAAAAAAAAAAGAAAAGAAAAAGGACGCTGCGAGAAGAAGATAACAAGCATCCTGGAATGAAACGAGAAGAGTATGCGCGAACAACGATACTGATTAGCCTAGTGAAGTGGAAACAGAGCTATTTTCTCTCGAAAAGAAAGAAAGAAAGGGAAGACTCTTAAGAACGGGGATCTAATTTCAACGGTTTACGGAAGAACGATCGAACATTTAGATAGAGTCAATACCGCTAACATGTCCAAGTAGACGTTAAAACCAGTCAAATTATCGATTTTTCCAATTTACTATATCTTTCTATTTGTATTTCATGACAATTTTGTATAGTCCAGCATACGGGAATATACGATGGTATTAGCGAGCATTAGAAGTTGGAATTAATCGTAATACGTCTGTTGTTTACTAGCTATATAGTCGTCATAATTAAACATCGTACTATGAATGCACGGATTTCTATCGTCGATTCGAAGATCGAGTCAAAGAGAAAAAAAAAAAAAAAAAGAAACAAAAAAATGACATGGACGAGCATGAGCTTTTTCCGCGAATCGTTGAAATCGATCCTCCAAAAACCGTGGTTGTCCGATAATATACTGTTATACGTCGTCTGTTCGATAAGGCGACGGGTATGAAATGCTTCGATTGTCATTAAATGACCGAATAAAAAGAAAGAAGAGAGAGAGAGAGAGGGAGAGAGAGAGAAAGAAGCGAAAGACAAATAGAGGAAAATGGAAAATGGTGACTGCAAGTAGAAGAATGACGTATCTCGAAGAACAAAGGAGAGAGGGAAGAAATGAAAGAAATACATGTCAGTGAGAAAGAAAAGAAGACAAAGGACAGCGATTGAAACTGGACACGCAAGATGAGGCAGAGAGCTCGTGATCTCGATCTGTCGCGACTTGTAATAAAAAAAAATAAAAAAAAAAGACGAAACGTAAAGACACACTTCTCGGCTCGTTCGTAGAAAGTACATATATGTATAATTAAACTTTATAGGGTAGAAGCGAACTCGCGACCGGATTATGAACCTCCATCAGTTTCTAGGCAACAGAGACTTGGAAGAATCAGTTAGTTGATCACGAGAGTCAGTAAATCCATGTACGATTTCATTATTTGCATTTATTTCTAACGACGCTAAGCGAACAAAAAGATATAATAAACGATGATGATACGAGGGCGTCGAATGGATTAGCACGTGAAATACTACAATTAAGAGTTTTTCTACTTATCTATACATATATATATGTGTGTGTGCGTGGGTATGTGTGTTATATATATAGATATATGTATACATATACATATAGGTATATACATATGCATATACATATATATGTATACATACATATACGTATACATTTGAATAATATACATATATAAATATGTACACGTAAAAGATAACATGTATATGCATTTTATATCTATATATTTATATATAAATACATACATACGTATATATGTATAAATATATACATATTAAGCGGACACGAACGAATAATGAAAGCGTATATCGATGCTAAATGCTCTGTTGATAATAAATAATCACGAGAAAGAAAGAAAGAAAGAAAGAAAGAAAAGAAGAAAGGAAGAAAAAAAAATGAATATAAAAGAAATAAAATTTCGTCACTAGATCTCTCGGCTGTTGGACGAGCCGACGAGCTCCGTAGAGTTTCATACTTTTGCAAATATCGAAATCTCGTCGATACATTATTACACACCGATCTCTCTATGTATAAAATAGACATATAAATATATTTGAACGATTTGAAAGGAGAACATTGATCCTGTTCCAAGTTTTGAATCACTTCGTTTGATCACGTGCGTGCAGCCCGCATGGCTCGACCGAATCCAGCGACGAATTGAACGTAACGGATGTGCGTGCATGTCAATTTTTTTTCACGTTTAAGCAGACAATTCATTTTCGTCCATCGGCTCTGAACCAAATCTGCGTAGCGCGGCGCGGAGCAGCGGCCGCTCCGTCGAGTCGAGCGATCGATCCTTTTGATTTTGGACTCTTTGAGAAGCACAGGGATCGTTTCGCCAGTGCCACAACACTCGCAGCATAACGTACAGGGGGAAACAAAAAGGAAAAACCCGTCGTTTCTCGACTTGAATCTCGTTTCTTTGCTCTGGGATCGTTTCGCTGCTGAGTATCTCGATACATCAATTTTTTTCTCAAAGGGTTAAACGATTGCGCGACCGTCGCAGTATGGTGTTTGTTCGTCGACGTTATTCCGTTGGAACTTTGTAGCCAGATGTCGCTCGACTAGACGGCTTCGTGTCAAGAGAATAGTAAAGGAAAAAGAAGAAGAAGAAAAAAAAAAAAGAAAAACAAATAACGAAACGATACTATGTACAGAAAAGATCGTAAATGTATTTTCGAGAGAGCGAGAAAGCTTTGCGTGGTTCGTGTCAAGTCAAAGGTTGGTGATCTTTTTTGGAATATCGAAAGGAAGGATGAACGGTAGTAAAGGAAAGAACGGGAGGGAAGAAAATAAATCGCATAAATGAATCATTAAATAGTAACAAGAGTTGCCTTAATATTACATGTTCACAAAATTAGGATACGCAAACGAACAAAAAAAAAAAAAAAAAAAAAAAAAAAAAAAGAAAAAAGAAAAAAATCACAGAGGAGAAGATTATAACGAAGGAAATTCGAATAGTCGTATCTTCTGGTCGAAACGTCACGACGAATACGCGATATACGACCGGTCACGAATAGTATATCTCTTTCCTTTTCAGTATGTTCGTTTCAATAATAATTTTCTATATAGAAAATCATTCGTCGCCGCGAATGCCAATGAATATCTTTTCTGTTTAATGATAACCTAAAATACTCGTTATTTGTTCGTCAACGAATCGTGCACACGTTTGGAAACGAGATCACGACTGATTCCAAGTATCGCTTGCAAGGAAACTCTATTGTACGCTACTGTTCGCGAATGATGTGCTCACAGAAGGAAAGTCGGATTCTGTTTCTTTCACATCTTCTCCGCTTGATACTTGTCATTCCATTCGTTGATGCGAATTTTCTTTGTTTATATTTCGCGTGGATGTCGTTGGCGAACAATAGCATATCGACTGACATACTGAACGCACGCAAGAAATCAAAAAGGATGCAAAAGAGAAAATGAAACGAGAGAGGAGGGAAAAACGGGGGAAAAAGGAAGGGAGAACGAATCGAGAAAGAAATTAATACGGAAAGGAAAGCGAACAGTAGTTGGCCGTATACGTATAATGCGGCGCTCAATGAATCTAAAGTGCTATCTACGGAAAAATGAGCGCAAACGGAGAGCAAATTTGGCGACGAAAACCCGGCAGTGAATGAACAGGCTGCGTGACAGCCGGTGCCTGTTCGAACAAACGAAAGAACGATCGAGAATGCGTGCGTGTGTGTCTGCGTGTAGCTGGGAAAGTAAAAATATCGCGAGGTCGGGAAAAAAAATTCAGCGAGCGCGCGCGAAAGGGAACGAGATCTGTACGCGTTTGAAAAAGAGTCGCGGTGTACCGTTGTTGTAAAAGAAAGAATTAAAAAAAAAATGTTACGTAAAAAGGAAGAGAAAATAAGTAAAAAAAAAGATACCATTGAAAGCTTTAACTTTGACTAATTAAACTAACTTTAAAAGAGTATACAGCGATATAACGCAGTGTGTGCTGCTGCCAGTTGTGTGAATGGCGGATGATTGACGGATGATTCTGCGCGAAATTATTACCGACGATCGATGAAACACGTTTATACATATAATAAAAATATATGTATATATATGTATATATATACATATATGCACATACATATATATAGTTTAATCTACCTCGATGTATTACATCCGTGTTGACACGCGCGCGCGAACATCGATATATTCAATTCTTTCTTTAATACTGTTCGTCAGGTACATCTTGTTCGCGCAATATCCCGCCAATCTTCACGTTATTGTAAACTTAATGTATATTACTTACACACACACACACACACACACACAGACACAGACACACATACACTACATGCACACGCGATACACAGATATATAAATGTATGCATATGTGAAAATGTAAAAGAACACTCGTTTCGTTTCAGAGAAAACAGATCGAGTGCAGATTGTACCTTTATACGTATATCATTGTTCGCGCTTCGTTCGCGTCGCGTCGAGAACACGGGTGACTTGTTGGTCAAAACGAGGAAGTCGAATCACAACAGCGTTTGTCGACTGGAAGCGAGTCCTCTTTATCCCAGGATTTAAACGAGCCATTTCTGTCGGTGAAAAGGAGAAAAAAAAAAAAAAAATCAACCTGACATGTATTTTTTAAGAAGCGCAATCACGAACACTGTTATCATTATTCACGACTGACGACAACACTTATTCTCATAGTTAAAAAAAAAGCACGCGCATCAGCTTCGCGTGTTCGTCGTGACGCGAACATTCGATTGTATCATTTCTCTCCTTTGAATGAAAAATAAGTATTCTATGTGTGTGAACGTATCCGTCAGTGAGGAACTCTCGTATGTTGAGAACAAAAAGAAGAAAAAAAAAAAAAAAAGAAATGAAATAACAAAAGAGAAAAATAACGAAAGGATAAACTCGATTATTCTTTGAACTTACGAATACGATCGAATCAATGTCGAGTGTGAATGCGCGAGTGAAAGTTGCAAAGAGAGAAAGCGAGCACAAGAGGAAGAATGAAAACGAAGATGTAAACATGCATTATTACTTATGTATTATGCAGTAAACGAGACAGATACCTACCTTATATGTATATACATATATATGTATATATGTATGTATATGTATATATACGTATATATATGTATATGTATATATATGTATATATAAATATTATATATATATATATATAGCTAGTTCAATTTGCAAATTAGTGTGTATCGTCGCTTCGAAATGCCCAGTCATTACTCGCCAGAATCCAAAAACCCAACAACCAATTTCAAGTTCATTCTTTTTTTAAGGAAAAAACCAATAAAATAATGTGTTAAAATATTTCAAAATACTTGTGTCTTTTCATTTACATTTAAGGCACACTGAATGCTAAAGTTCTCCAAAACTCTCGACGTTTTAATAAACTCGCAGTTTTTACACTACCGGTGATTTGAATTTCGTGCAGGAACTTCGAAGAGGGCGTATTTAATTACTTTTTTCGATCAACTTCTTCCATGCTCTATATTATCTCAAAGCTGATAGATGGCAGCACCAAACACTTAATGAATTTTCTCTTCACCAAACACGAATATTAACGTAAAGGAGCAACAAAAAAATCTTCAAAAGATCATAGTTTTCACTTAATAAAAAATATTTATCTTCTACGAAAATATCTTTAACTTTCTAAATGTAAATTTTTACTCCATTTGCATTTTACTCAACCCTTGTTACTAATGATTTCTCGTTTCAAATATTGAAACGAATAACATAAATAAAAGGAACTTTCTGTAATTTAAAACATTAAATGATAACGAAGAGAGTACATAAAGGGGAATACTTTATACAAATAACATGAAACAGTTGTACAAATCGAACTAGTATTATTTTTGAGCGTTTTATTAAGTTTACCATGATTTTAATCGATACAATGATTCTGTGGTATACTGTTGTACACATCGAGACGTGACTTCAACTTTCTTTCCATTTCTTTTACGCTTTTTAAAGTATTTATCACCCTTTTTCGCATATTCTAACAAAACAAAAAGATGCTGTATTTTAGAGCTCGTGTTATAAAATGTTACGTTTTACAATATTGGAAGTTCTACATTAAAACGATAAAAATCTTTTTTCTCATTGAAATAAAAAAAGAAAACATTTTTTTAAAATAATGCTTTCCGTGCAGGAAAGTAAGTTGAAATTTCATCCGATAATGAGAAACATAAATGCAATAATCATCAGCGTTGGCGTGCGCTTCGAACAAATTTTACAAATGATCTTTTTTTCTTTTGTATCTTAAACGAAAGTTGGACGATTGGAGGAAAGGATCCAGCGGAAGGGGAGCGAGGAATATGAATATATATTTTATATTGTGTATCCATAAATGTTAAACGTTATTTCTTTCTTTTTTTTTTCTTTTTTACTTCGCTTTATCGATCGTATTCTTGACTCGTTTTCATTTCATTTTATTAAATGTTAGGTAGAGCTTATAAGGGACGCTTGAAGTCGATCTCACAGCGAACTTCAGGCGCTCTTTTGTCGTATACTAGCTGTGCCAAACGCACTTGTACTGGTCGCATGGTAGTGAAAAAAACCATGCTGAAGATTGACTTTTGAGACACACAGACGTAGAATTTTCTGTTTCCTTGCTACTGATTTTCCCATGGGATCTTTGAAGAAATGAAACAATATAATTCAAACTTTTGAATAGAAAACTGATAAAATGCGTTGCTCAAAAATAAAAGATACGTAAATTCAGGAGAAATGTTCCTCAATATTCAATCTTCAGCCTTTCACCCGCGACATATTATTTAACAACAGAATTTAACCACCTAATCTTCTGGAGGATACTCGTAATTTCCATCTCCGCCTCGTCTTCGTTTATACAATAAATGGATATCCTTTTTTTTTCTTTTTCCCTACGTGCTAAGTAATAAATCGTCGAGCCGCAATTCATTATGACAGTCGTCGACAATTGATAATTAATAAAATCGATAGAAATCACCTAGCTGTCAATCGACATTCTTTTACCTTAAAAAAATACGTCCAACACGGTTTGGGCGTGATAATAAATTTCAATAATTCATAATATTAATAATTGCTATCCATGGGGATAATACAATTGCAGTGCGATCATCACAATGCGAGTACCGCAAATATCAATAATATTGATAATAATAACGTCAATAAAACTAAAAACAATAATAATAATAATGAAAGTAGTAGTAGTAGTAGTAATAGTAGTAAGTAGTAGTAGCAGTAGTGGTGGTGGTAGTAGTAGTGGTAGTAGCAGAAGTAGTAGTAATAGTAGTAGCAGTAATAGTAGAAGTAGTAGTAGAAGTAATAGTAGAAGTAGTAGTAGAAATAATAGTAGAAGTAGTAGCAGTAGTAGCAGCAGCAGTAGTAGTAGTAGTAGTAGTAATAATAGTAATAATAATAATAATAATAATAATAATAATAATAATAATAATAATAATAGTAGTAGTAGTAGTAGTAGTAGTAGTAGTAGTAGTAATAATAATAATAGTAGTAGTAGTAATAATAATAATAAAAATAAAATAAATCTCGTTTTACTAATTAGCATCGTCGTTACAATGATGTACTTAGCTGTTATAGTTTTGCCTATGGACTATTCTTTTTTTATATACCTCTATATGTATAGCTACAATATATAATATTTTCATGTTGAAAAATCGTATACATTAGTGTTGTGTCGCAGGACCATTGCTTCGTTTCTGTTCTGTTTCTCGACCATATTTTTTATCTGTTTGCTCACCACGTTTCTTGTACGTTCATTCTTTTTCTTTTTTTTTTTTTTTTCGTTCATTGTCTTTTCATTTCAACAATCTTCGCTCGATGGGCCTCACTGAGAGGGGAAAAGGTGGCGCCGATGAGCATAGAAGCATTCACGTTAATCTTTGAACAACAGCGTCGAGTGAAAAGAGAAGATGAAATGGAAGAAATAGCGGTAAGAGTAAAAAAAGGTGAAAGAGTATAAACCGGACAGGAACGGATACGTACACCGTTTCTGGCCGCTTCTTTCCTTTCCACAAATATAAATACGGACAATACTTTTGCTCAATTCCGTGATGTATAATTGTAAATGTCAGTACATTTTGCATCATTCGAATATCTCGTTCGTCGAAATCTGGCGCGACTTCCTTTCTACGCGTCGCCCAAGAACGTGAACGCTTCTCGCTTAGAGAATCTGCATTACATAACATTAATAGCTTAATATCGATTTTTTTTTTAGTTCGTATTACTCGCCGTGTTAACGACGAGCCTCGGATCACAGATAGTGAGGTGATCGGATTGCGCGAGCATTTTTACGATACAACTTATACATATGCGTTCCTACATCATAATTTCATTCTCGTAATTGTCTGTTTCGCGTATCTTCTTGCGATTCTTCTTAAGTATTTCAAGGCGACAGCTCCTGAAAGCAAACAGTACCGGCCGTGTACGCGAGCGTGATCACACAGTCGCGTGAAAAAGCACTATTGACAATTTTTTCGTTTACAATTGGCTTTTCTCTAGTCACCAAGTTACAATGAATTTCCAATCTTCTGTACGCGTTGGAACGATTAAACAGATGGAACCAGATGGAGATCGGTCGTAACGTTATTCGCGATGTATCTTTTTCCGGCGACTATTCATACTCATGCACGCACATGGTCGAAGGAGAAACTTGGTCGGAACGCAATCTTTACGTTTCTGCCCAGTTCATGGTAGAAAGTGATTATCGTAATGGTGACACATGAGTTATACAGATACGAAAGTATAGAATATATATTTTTATACACATGTATACGTATACACAATACATATGTACCTACGTACATACGACCAACTAAGGCTAGACAGGCGCAATCGTATATTTTAAAACGTCGAATCCAGTTGAATCGTTTTCTCACGCCATTTTTCAAAACCTTATATTTCTGTTCGACCGGAAAACGCGCAACATGTACCAATAAAAATCCGACTTCGATTCGTTTCTCTGTGTTTTCCCGACAATACTTCTCTTAATCACGACGCTTTTCCTTTAATAGAAAATATATTTTAATCTGCAGAAAATTGTGCGATCGAAGCCGAATGAACAGGTTTGATCAAGAAGTGGATGGCCGAAAGATTGACGCATCGTTGGAATTTCAATTCTGGATTCGACATTTTTGCCTCTGTATGTGTGTCGGGTATTGAAATCAATAGAAATAGAAAAAGAGACATAAAGAAAACGAATTTTAATAAGATCTCGTGCTGAATCGTTTGTTTTACAACAGAAGAAAATGAATCGAGTTTCTCGGTTCGCTCGTGGGTACAATCATGCATACAATTTTTCAACGTAACAAACTGTACGATACTAAGCTTTATACAGCGAGGACACCTAAAACTTATCTCCTTACATACCTACTAATCGCGTATGCGTGTATTGAAATTTCAGAAAATAAATAATAATGCTGGGAAATTATTGCAATCGTTGTGATTTGCTTCTTGAAAGAGAAGCAGCAAATGGTGTCTTCGCATTTAAACGGAAATGAACAAATCAGCACGCAAACATTATCAACGCATCGCTGCAAAAGTATAATTCGAAGCTATACTTAAGACTCGGAACTTAAACCATAATCGAACGTAGGAAAACTAGCATTACACGATTACTCGGGATGCTGGGATTAGATTTAAAAAGAACTGCGTCAAAAATTTTGCTAAAGTTGTTTCTGATAAAATATGTATAACTTTTCATAAATGTTTCTTATCAAGAAGTTAAGAAAAAAAATTACCCTAAAATGACAACGTTATTGTAATATAATCGTTTTCTTAAATCCGTACCCAGCAAAAAGTTACGCTACGCATTATAATGGGAGGATTTACATAACATGACGATAAAAATTATTGAAGAAACAAAGTCAAATATTAAAACCAAAGGGTGTAAACAATTCGAAAGAAAAAGAAATACAATAAGAAAGTGAGAGTGTCGGGGATGAGAGATTATAAGAATAAAAATATCTGTACAAACTATGTCTATCCACGTATGCGTGTAGCATACGTAAAAAAGTAAAAAAAAAAAAAAAAAAAAAAAAGAAAA